CCACAGTGTGGGTCGCCTAGGCTCTGCGGTGACCCACACGGTAATTGGGGCAGCCTTTTCCAGGAGTTTGGGGAGCAAACATCTGCCCTCAAACTCATGGGAACTCACTTCCAGGCAGCCCGCAAGCTCGGGGCATTCACCCAGGCCCAGGTCCCTTGGCCTGCAAACTGCAGCACGGCCAGTGTCAACCGTCACACCAGTCAGCTGCGTGTCTGAGGGAAGAGCTTTGTCCTCAGTGTGGAGCCACGGGGGCCCTGGGTCCCCTTCATCAGGAGCCACGGAGACCCCGGTCCACCGCACTTTGGTGCTCAGCCCACTGTTCTGAGACCTAAGTGGCCCCTCCTCTGCCTGCCACACACAGAATGCCTGCCACTCACTCGGCTCCCGGGCACTGGGCCCTTCTCCAGAGGACGCCTGCCACTCACTCAGCTCCCGGGCACTGGGCCCTTCTCCAGAGGACGCCTGCCACGCACTCGGCTCCCGGGCACTGGGCCCTTCTCCAGAGGATGCCTGCCACGCACTCGGCTCCCCGGTGCAGCTATGCTATGAGGAAGTCTGCACCGAAGCACTCACGGGTAGAGACCACCTCCACACCAGTTCTCTCTTGCATGAGGCCAAGAAAGTGCAGACACCACCTCAGGAAGACAGGAGAGCCACGAGGCCAGGCGGGACCCCAGGCACCCCCTGCCATGGCTGGGCCCCACCTCAGATACAGAGACAAGAGGGTCTTGATAGACCCCACGGCGCCTGTGCCCCGGAGCCTGCCAGCGGTCCACTCACCCTGAGACAGGGTTTCCTCCTGTCCCCGGCTCTCAGAGCACTCGGGGAGAAGCGGTAGCTGCTGTGACAAGCCTGAGACCCCCGCAGCCGCTCACTGGGGCACCAGACTGTGACCCAGCTCCACGGCGAGCTATCCCCTTTGAGTTCTCCTGCCGAGGCGGACCTGCTTCCAGTAATTCCCTGTGTTTGCAGGTGGGGAGGAGGGGCCTGATGTGGGCGTGGGGACCCTGGCGCCAGGAGCCTGGAGGAGCTTGTGGCTTGGAGGGAGGCCTGGCCACACCCCTCCTGATGCTGATGCCATGTTAGCCGGTGCTTTCAGGGACCCTACATAGGGGCTGGGGGTCTGTCCTGAGCCACCGTGCAGGTGTGTGGGGGCTGTCACTGCAGGGTTGGCGGCAGGCCTCTGGGGCCAAGTGAGAAGCGGGGAACCCACAGAGCATTTCCTTCCGCCACGTGAGACCATCAGACACGTCGAGTTTCCAGATGGCGGCTTTGGGGAAGCGTGTTCTGGGACATGTGGGCACCCGGAGAGTAGCCGCTGCATAACATGCCACTGCCCGACCACTGCAGATGGGCCCGGAAAGTTCTGGCATCCCGAGCAGAGCGGGAGGGTGGCACAGCCAGTGTGGGTCCCGGACCCCTTCGGGTCTGCTGCGTTGTTGGCCTGTCTGTGCCGTTTTTTTTTTTTTTTTTTTTTTTAGAATTAATTTTGGGCTGAAAAGCCTCAAAGAAGGCTTTGTTCCTTTGACACTTGCTCTGGAAGAAAAAACAATCCGTGGAAAATCTGACATGTGCAATGTAGAGAGAAATCAGTAGATGGGAGGAATATAATTATCTTCCACTCCTGAAAGAGTTTTTCGGATTTTGAAGTGTCGCTTATCAGCTCAGAATTTGAATGACATTTTAATTATTTTGTTTTTTTCCTTTTCCTGGTTTGAATCTCCTTAGAGTTCCACTCCCGGATTCTGCAGGGAGCAGAGCTGGCGCTCACGAGGTGGGGAGGGGCGCGCGGGGGGTGGTGACGGCCGTGCCCTGCCCACTGGAGCCCTGCATTTCATCAGGAGCCGCAGCTCCCCTGGGCGTGGACGGGGCCTTGAGGACTGGGCCTGCGCCGTCCGGCCAGCTGGACGCCCTGGGCCGTTTTCATGCAAACGTAGGCTGCAGGGCCGGAGCCCACGCAGAACGGTCTCTGCTGCTCTAGCGATTTGAGCAAACCCAGCTTCCGGAAGACCCGACTCTCGGTTTTTACTGGAGTTCACCCTTCAGGCCTTTAAACAGCATCACTCCTGGGTGCTCAGAGCCCTCCCTGCCATTGGGGCACAGGGCATGTGAGGGCCAGGGGCGCACAGCGAGACCCTAGAGACGGCGATGCTGGACCCGGCCGGGGCCCTGCCACCGGCAGCCTTTGCAGTGCGCGGGTGGCTGCGCCTCACAGCCCCGCCGAGGTGCATCTGTGGACTGTGTGTGGGTGGCGTCCCGTGTGGCTCACGTGAGGAGCAGGCGCCTGTTGCTTGGTGTTCCTGTAGGGCCTGGCTGGGCTTTTCATCACGCTCCCCTGCCGTTTCTCCTTTGGGCCTCTCCGGGCATCGGTCACTGCACCCATGTGCTGTCCTCTAGGGCACGGTGCAGCCTCTCCCGGCCTTCCCACTCCCTGCCAGTCCCGGGGGTCCCTCATTCCAAACACGCCCCTACCCTGCCCAGTTCGTCCTGCACAGACGGTGGCAGAGCCTGCTGCCTCCTCAGCCTCATGTAACCAGACGACCCAGCTCAGTCTGCAGCCACCCCACCTCAGAGCCCCCCACCGCCCCGGCTCAGAGCCCACAGCCACCCCAAAGGCCTTCCTGGGTGTGGTCAGCTGTCAGCCTGGCTGGGCTGGAGTTCTTGGTCCATCCCAGAACGCAAGCCTCTGTGCTGCTAGGAGGTATTAATGTTTCACAGACGTGGCTCCAGCCTGTGATGGGCTGACTTGGGGAGGAGATGATATGGGCAGGAGACTGAGGCCGGAGCTGGGGCTCCCTGGAGAGGAGGAAATTCCATCCCAACAGCAGCTCTGGCCACTGCTCTGGAGGTCTTGATGGCCCCCACAGGCCTCAGTTTGCACCCCATGCTGTCTGGACTGAGGCCGTGGCCGATGGGAACCTGCACTCTGGGGGCTCCTGGGCCCCCCTGCTGCAGCCTCCTCTGCCCTGCGCTGCCCCATGCTCCTGCCTGAGGAGGGCATCGACACCCTCCTCTTCCTTCTTCCCTTGATGCCATCCCTGCCCCCACCCCGCGGGGCTCCCTGCCCAGGTCGGCCTGTGAGCTCTGTCCAGGCACAGGCCGGGCTCCTGTTGGGAACAGATGCTCTGTGTTCCCCAAATTCAGTTTCACGTGCAAACCCTGACCCCAGTGTCACAGTACCAGGAGGCAGGCCTGGTACCCCAACAGGTCCATGGAGGAGAGCCCTCACCGATGGGAGGAGGCTGCTCCAAAAGTGTCCCCAGAGACACCCTCACCCTCTTCCCACCGTGTGGGCAACAGTGAGAAGGCGCCACCTGAGGTACCCGCCATAGTACGCCCACCACAGCCGTGGGCTCCAGACCTGCAGGAGGGGTCCCTGTTGCTTCTGTGCCACCACCGCCTCTGCCGTGCCTGGCGGCTTCCTGCCTCTCTGCGCCTGCAGCAGGCAGCCTCTGTGGGTGGAGCAGGCCCTGGCACCTCACCGGCACTCGGTGCTTCTGTGCTGGGCAGACAGTCGGATGGACCGAGGACAGATGGGCGGAGGACAGGGAGAGAGAGGCCATGGGATTCCACTGGGAGTAGCTATAGCAGCAGAAACCGTCACAGAGGAGGCGGGGCTCACTTCTGCACTGTGCACTTTCACCTCCGAATGCAGCCGGCGTGTCTCCCACGGGTGGGAGGAGTGGCAATTTCTTTCTGCCTTGGAATCATCTGAAGCCATGAGTGCCCCCAGGAAAGCGCAGGGTGTGGGAGCCGACCCCTCCCTGGACGCTTCGCTGTGGCCGGGTGCTGAAGAGCCCCTACCCCCACAGCTCCGTGCTCGAGTCCCATCTTCCCCAGTGCTGACAGCTCCACAGGCCCCCGGAAGCCTCTCCCGTGGCCCACGCGTCCTCACAGCTGGCGAGTTACAGCTCATGGGGTCACCTTGGGGCCTGGGCCTGGGCTCCCTTTGTGCTGCAGGGGGCCCTGCTGAGATGCAGGTTCACTGAGACCCCCCCAACCTCGGGCTCACCCGGGAGCACCGAGAAGCTTCCCTCCAACGTTGTCCATGGGGTCTGTGCAGGGCATGACAAATCTGTCGTTTTTAAAGACACGAGACCTCTTTAGCGTGATGACACGTGAGCTCTAAGAATGTGTTGGGGAAGGCGTGGTGGGCGCTGACTCTAAAAGGGAAGCCGCTGTGGCTCACACCCGCACTGTGCCCTTCACTGCTGTTCATCAAACAGGCCCCAACCTGCTCTTCCCAAATCTCCCTTCCCTAGTGCTTCACCCACAAGGTCCCCTCCTCACAGCGCCTGCAGCCCGCACCCACACCCTTCATGGACAGTTCGACTTCCTGGGAAGGTGCTCCCATAGGGACCACCGCATCTCCACCCCGTGACTGTCCTGGGAAGCTGCTCCCGTCAGGGCCTCCGCAACCCCACACCCCGTGACTGTCCTGGGAAGCTGCTCCTGTCGGGGCTGCCGGGCGCCCACCCGTGACTGTCCTGGGAAGCTGCTCCCGTCAGGGCCTCCGCAACCCCACCCCGTGACTGTCCTGGGAAGGTGCTCCTGTCGGGGCCACCGGGCTCCCACCCCATGACTGTCCTGGGAAGGTGCTCCCGTCCAGGCTGCCGTGCACTCACCCCGTGACTCCTGGGAAGGTGCTCCCATCGGGGCTGCCACGCCCCCACCCCGTGACTGTCCTGGGAAGGTGCTCCCGTCCGGGCCGCCACACCCCCACCCCATGACTGTCCTTGGAATGTGCTCCCGTCTGGATTGCCGTGCCCCCACCCCGTGACTGTCCTGGGAAGTAGTTCCCGTCGGGGTGCTGCACCCCCACACCGTGAGTGTCCTGGGAAGGTGCTCCCGTCCGGGCCGCCGCGCCCCCACCCTGTGACTGACCTGGGAAGTGGTTCCTATCGGGGCTGCCGCACCTTCAGCCCTGAGAACCTGCTACTTTTGGGGCTGCTGCACCCTGAGCCTCGTAGCTGATGCTCCCTCTGCTGTCATCCTTGCAGGGCCTGATCAAGATTCGGGGGGATCGGTGCTGGCGAGACCTCACTTGCATGGACTTCCACTATGAGGTGAGTGTGCCGTGCAGGGAGAGGGCAGGGCACCCAGCCTCATACCGCGCCTGTCCCGCTCCTGGTGGGGCTCAGTCCCACACCCCCAGGCGAGCCGTCGCAGCACAGGGTCACCCCCAGTTGACTCAGGACGTCCCCTCCTTCCTTTCTCCCAATAGCGTGGTCACAGAGCAGCTTGCAGGTGCCCCCTACTTAGGGCTGTAGGGGCGGAGTCTGTGGCCCTCCCTGGTCTCAGTGCTGCTGGTTTGCTCTCCTCTCAACAATGGCTGCCTGTGCTGTTGTCCTTGGTCCTGCCCAGGCCTCCGGGCCGCCCCTCCTTCCTGGATCTGCAGCTCCCCACCGTCCCCTGACAGGAGTATGACGGGGACTTCCTAGCTGTGTCCCCAGCCCCTGCCACACAGTGCTGTGACTGCATCATCACCTCGAGGCACACAGGTGTGTTCACACGGGCAGGCAGAGTTCCGCAGTGCTTACCTCCCAGGGTCACACTGAGTCCCTTCAGAACTCCGGTTCCCACCAACTGCCTGTGTGTTGATATAGGGCTGACTAATCTGGGGCTTGGGGTTCATGTGTTCATGTAGGACCGTGAGTGATCTGCGGTGATTGGGGTTCGTGCGTTCACGTAGGACTGGAGTGATCTGGGGTGATTGGGGTTCATGCGTTCATGTAGGACTGTCAGTGATCTGGGGTGATTGGGGTTCGTGCGTTCATGTAGGACTCAGTGATCTGGGGTGATTGGGGTTCATGTGTTCATGTAGGACTGTCAGTGATCTGCGGTGATTGGGGTTCGTGCGTTCATGTAGGACTGGAGTGATCTGCGGTGATTGGGGTTCATGTGTTCATGTAGGACTGTCAGTGATCTGGGGTGATTGGGGTTCATGTGTTCATGTAGGGCTGTGATCTGGGGTGATTGTCATTTGTTTATATAGGGCTGTGAGTGTTCTGCGGTGATTGGGGTTCGTGCGTTCATGTGGGGCTGTGAGTGATCTGGGGTGATTGGGGTTCATGTGTTCATGTAGGGCTGTGATCTGGGGTGATTGTCATTTGTTTATATAGGTCTGTGAGTGTTCTGCGGTGATTGGGGTTCGTGCGTTCATGTAGGGCTGTGAGTGATCTGGGGTGATTGGGGTTCATGTGTTCATGTAGAACTGGAGTGATCTGGGGTGACTGGCGTTCATGTGTTCATGTAGGACTGATTGATCTAGGGTGTTTGGGGTTCATGTGTTCATGTAGGAGTTGAGTGATGAGGTGATTGGGGTTCATGCGTTCATGTAGGACTGTGAGTGATCTGGGGTGATTGGGGTTCTTGTGTTCATGTAGGACTCAGTGATCTGGGGTGATTGGGGTTTATGTGTTCATGTAGGACTGTGAGTGATCTGGGGTGATTGGGGTTCATGTGTTCATGTAGGGCTATGATCTGGGGTGATTGGGGTTCATGCGTTCATGTAGGGCTGAGAGTGATCTGGGGTGATTGGGGTTCATGTGTTCATGTAGTCCTGTGATCTGAGGTGATTGGGGTTCGTGTGTTCATGTAGGGCTGTGATCTGGGGTGATTGGGGTTCGTGTGTTCATGTAGGGCTGTGATCTGGGGTGATTGGTGTTTGTGTGTTCATGTAGGGCTGTGATCTCGGGTGATTGGGGTTCGTGTGTTCATGTAGGGCTGTGATCTGGGGTGATTGGGGTTCGTGTGTTCATGTAGGGCTGGGATCTGGGGTGATTGGGGTTCGTGTGTTCATGTAGGGCTGTGATCTGGGGTGATTGGGGTTCATGTCTTCATGTACGGCTGTGATCTGGGGTGATTGGGGTTCATGTCTTCATGTAGGGCTGTGACTGATGTGGGGTGATTGGAGCTCGTGTGTTCATGTAGAACTGGAGTGATCTGGGGAGATTGGGGTTCATGTGTTCATGTAGGGCAGTCACTGATCTGGGGTGATTGGGGTTCGTGTGTTCATGTAGAACTGGACTGATCTGGGGTGATTGGGGTTCGTGTGTTCATGTAGTGCTGTGATCTGGGGTGATTGGGGTTCATGTCTTCATGTACGGCTGTGATCTGGGGTGATTGGGGTTCATGTCTTCATGTAGGGCTGTGACTGATCTGGGGTGATTGGAGCTCGTGTGTTCATGTAGAACTGGAGTGATCTGGGGTGATTGGGGTTCATGTGTTCATGTAGGGCAGTCACTGATCTGGGGTGATTGGGGTTCATGTGTTCATGTAGGGCAGTCACTGATCTGGGGTGATTGGGGTTCATGTGTTCATGTAGGGCAGTCACTGATCTGGGGTGATTGGGGTTTGTGTGTTCATGTAGAACTGGACTGATCTGGGGTGATTGGGGTTTATGTGTTCATGTAGGGCTGAGTGTGATCTGGGGTGATTGGGGTTCATGTGTTCATGTAGGGCTGTGATCTGGGGTGATTGGGGTTCAGGTGTTCATGTAGGGCTGTGATCTGGGGTGACTGGGGTTCGTGTGTTCATGTAGGACTGTGAGTGATCTGGGGTGATTGGGGTTCATGTGTTCATGTAGGACTGTCAGTGATCTGGGGTGATTGGGGTTCATGTGTTCATGTAGGACTCAGTGATCTGGGGTGATTGGGGTTCGTGTGTTCATGTAGGGCTGTGATCTGGGGTGATTGTCGTTCATTTGTTTATATAGGGCTGTGAGTGTTCTGAGGTGATTGGGGTTCATGTGTTCATGTAGGGCTGTGAGTGATCTGGGGTGATTGGGGTTCGTGTGTTCATGTAGGGCTGTGATCTGGGGTGATTGTCGTTCATTTGTTTATATAGGGCTGTGAGTGATCTGCGGTGATTGGGGTTCATGTGTTCATGTAGGGCTGTGAGTGATCTGGGGTGATTGGGGTTCATGTGTTCATGTAGGGCTGTGATCTGGGGTGATTGTCGTTCATTTGTTTATATAGGGCTGTGAGTGTTCTGAGGTGATTGGGGTTCATGTGTTCATGTAGGGCTGTGAGTGATCTGGGGTGATTGGGGTTCGTGTGTTCATGTAGGGCTGTGATCTGGGGTGATTGTCGTTCATTTTTTTATATAGGGCTGTGACTGTTCTGAGGTGATTGGGGTTCATGTGTTCATGTAGGGCTGTGAGTGATCTGGGGTGATTGGGGTTCGTGTGTTCATGTAGAACTGGAGTGATCTGGGGTGATTGGTGTTCATGTGTTCATGTAGGACTGTGATCTAGGGTGTTTGGGGTTCATGTGTTCATGTAGGAGTTGAGTGATGAGGTGATTGGGGTTCATGCGTTCATGTAGGACTGTGAGTGATCTGGGGTGATTGGGGTTCTTGTGTTCATGTAGGACTCAGTGATCTGGGGTGATTGGGGTTTATGTGTTCATGTAGGACTGTGAGTGATCTGGGGTGATTGGGGTTCATGTGTTCATGTAGGGCTATGATCTGGGGTGATTGGGGTTCATGCGTTCATGTAGGGCTGAGAGTGATCTGGGGTGATTGGGGTTTATGTGTTCATGTAGGACTGTGAGTGATCTGGGGTTATTGGGGTTCATGTGTTCATGTAGGGCTATGATCTGGGGTGATTGGGGTTCATGCGTTCATGTAGGGCTGTGAGTGATCTGAGGTGATTGGCGTTCCTCTGTTAAGGTAGGGCTGTGAGTGATCTGGGGTGATTGTGGTTCATGTGTTCATGTAGTCCTGTTATCTGGGGTGATTCGGGTTCGTGTGTTCATGTAGGGCTGTGATCTGGGGTGACTGGGGTTCATGTGTTCATGTAGGGCTGTGATCTGGGGTGATTGGGGTTCATGTGTTCATGTAGGGCTGTGATCTGGGGTAATTGGGGTTCATGTAGGGCTGTAATCTGGGGTGACTGGTGTTTGTGTGTTCATGTAGGGCTGTGTCCTGGGGTGATTGGGGTTCAGGTGTTCATGTAGAGCTGTGATCTGGGGTGATTGGTGTTCGTGTGTTCATGTAGGGCTGTGATCTGTGGTGACTGGGGTTCATGTGTTCATGTAGGGCTGTGATCTGGGGTGATTGGGGTTCATGTGTTCATGTAGGGCTGTGATCTGGGGTGATTGGGGTTCATGTAGGGCTGTAATCTGGGGTGACTGGTGTTTGTGTGTTCATGTAGGACTGTGTCCTGGGGTGATTGGGGTTCAGGTGTTCATGTAGGGCTGTGATCTGGGGTGACTGGGGTTCATGTGTTCATGTAGGACTGTGATCTAGGGTGTTTGGGGTTCATGTGTTCATGTAGGAGTTGAGTGATGAGGTGATTGGGGTTCGTGTGTTCATGTAGGGCTGTGACCTGGGGTGATTGGGGTTCATGTAGGGCTGTGATCTGGGGTGACTGGTGTTTGTGTGTTCATGCAGGGCTGTTATCTGGGGTGATTGGGGTTCATGTGTTCATGTAGGGCTGTGATCTGGGGTGACTGGTGTTTGTGTGTTCATGTAGGGTTGTGATCTGGGGTGATTGGGGTTCCTCTGTTCATGTAGGGCTGTGAGTGATCTGAGGTGATTGGCGTTCCTCTGTTAAGGTAGGGCTGTGAGTTATCTGGGGTGATTGGGGTTCATGTGTTCATGTAGTCCTGTGATCTGAGGTGATTGGAGTTCGTGTGTTCATGTAGGGCTGTGATCTGGGGTGATTGGGGTTCATGTAGGGCTGTAATCTGGGGTGACTAGTGTTTGTGTGTTCATGTAGGGCTGTGTCCTGGGGTGATTCGGGTTCAGGTGTTCATGTAGGGCTGTGATCTGGGGTGATTGGGGTTCATGTGTTCATGTAGGACTCAGTGATCTGGGGTGATTGGGGTTTATGTGTTCATGTAGGAATGTGAGTGATCTGGGGTTATTGGGGTTCATGTGTTCATGTAGGACTGTGATCTAGGGTGTTTGGGGTTCATGTGTTCATGTAGGGCTGTGATCTGGGGTGATTGGGGTTCATGTGTTCATGTAGGGCTGTGATCTGGGGTGATTGGGGTTCATGTAGGGCTGTGATCTGGGGTGATTTGTGTTTATGTGTTCATGTAGGGCTGTGACCTGGGGT